TCTGAAGTCTGACGAGTTTAGTCTCTCCATCTCTAACTGTGGTACTATATCAACATTCATCTCCTCTTACCTCCTTGGGAGACAGACCTAGTTCCCTATTCTTAATATCTAAGTAAAATAGAAGAAGAACGTAACAAAAAGGCTACTAATGCAAACTGAATGAACCATAGAAGTGAAAAGACATTAGCGTAATTCATCAGAGGACGTAGTCATGACACTAAAATAAGATCAAGTCACTCTGGGACAGAATGGAATTTCATTGAATTAAGCACTTGCTGGCAAAGTACTATAAAAATATCATATGTTGAAAATAATATTTAAAATTAAGATTAGATGAAGCGGGAATTGGTGACATTGATAATAAGCACTGAATAATAAAAATTACATCTAGCAACTTTCTCGCACAATCTCCCAGATCTGATGCTGGAAACAAACTCTCCTTAACAAAGAAACTACCTCTCCCAGTACTGACGAGAGCTCCAAAAGTGCAGCCAAATAAACACACAATATGATTTAATAAATGTTCAAGGTTGCATATCTGTGATGTATGACAAAATTTCTTTACCAGTAGCAACAATCTGTGGTAGCGGCATTGGTTCTTGAAAACGGAAACGGAAGTTACTCGAAACATTGAGATGAATCAGTTGCCGTTACAACAGGCTCTTGCTACACGTAAAGAAACTTCGTTAGGCATTACAGGATATTAATGTTCTTACATTGTAATATCTATTAACATAGTTTCATTACAGGAGGCTCAATTTCTAAGAAACGCACACGCCCTACACAAGGAAGCAGAAGCGGTCAACGCGCATGATCAAAAACCAACGTCAACTCTAATATGGTCCCAACCAGATGTGTAGTTGCCGGTTTTATTTATTCCTTCTAGTGGAATTAAATTATCACTAATATCTTACGTATAGCAGTAACATATTATAGAGGCGTTAGGCTATGATATTTCGATACTACAAGTAAAATTAACATGTTGGGATTTTTACGTACTTACTATAGGCTACTAACTGCGGCAACGAAAGTTGAGGTTTGAATTGGAAATAAATATTTACATACATCAATCAATCTCCAGAAAGAGAAAGAAAAGTAGAGTTTTTTTTTTTAACTACCAGAACATGCAATAAAACAATGACAGCATTATTTACACAATCGTAAACCTGCTAATATGTAAATATGAGATATGGATGTAAATTATTTGTACAACTTAAATTATATATATATATATATAAATTCTATATATACATATAGTTATAAATTATACGAAATTTATTTTTTTTACTTCCCATGCAAACACACAAACACGTACCACAGAGATAAAAATTCCTATGAGCCATGAAGATAAAAAGTAGATTGAATTATTTGGAGAATAAGAAATTGATATATTATAAAGGCAATTTTCCTCTACATTTTCGGCATTTTTAGGAGCTTCACTGGTTTCAAACTAATTTAACAGAGCAATGTTGATATATATTTCACTTTTATTTTTTTTTGTTTTTGCTTTGTTCTGATCAAAATAATTAGTGTTATTTTGTAATCTTATCGTAGCAATTCTGTAAGGTATTACTATTAATTTCAAGTTATATGACGATCATTAGTTAAATATATTTTATTACATTTTTAGTAAATTTCTAATAGGCGTCTCTGTGCTGTATTAGTTGAGGCACAAGAGATAAGTAGTTTTCTGTGCAAGCGACTTCGTTTGTTGTTTCACTTTCCTTCGACGTGCTTGTGCAATGAACCGTATTACAGTAATTGTTAACCATATGCAATTGGTTTCCATTTGTGAATCTACCCACGAACACGCTTGTTAGACTTAGAGAACTAATAACAAAACAATTACAATCATCCATCGACGTAAGTTTAATAAAAATAACACACACACAAGCCTGTTAGACTTGGAGGACTAATTAAAAACAATTACAACCATCCATCAACATAAGTTTAATAAAACCACACACGCTCAGGAATAATCAATCAGATGGCTTGTTCACATAGTTAAGAAAAACATTGTTGTTTAGAACACTAGGTCAAAAGTGAACTAGCTACATAGAAAAGAATCAAAATATTTAAAAAACTAATTTGAATATCCATAACGACAATTCTATATGTCAGACTAGTTAGAATTTTCTTATTGTCATAAATCAATATGCAAGAAAATTTAAATCCATAAAGATTGGAATGTATCGAATCATCATTTGGGCACAGTCGCTATTAATATTTTAGTTGTAATCTTAATATTGTTCAAAAGGGATGACTGAAACTGAAGAAAAGTATTAACAATTGTTAATACGTTATTGAATAAATGTATGACATTTTATACCGGTGTTGAAATTCTGACGTAAGCTAAACCTGATAAAAAAAGAATTAAACATTTTTGTTGTGTGTAATTGAGCACAAATTGAGCGGTATGTCTGCGGACTTACAACGCTAGAATCAGGGTTTCGATACCCGTAGTGGGCAGAGCACAGATAGCCTATTGTGTAGCTTTGTGCTTAATTACAAACAAACTTACATCTTTATTTAGCTCTCTTATTTTACAATATGATAGAAACTCAAATAAATAAGTAATATAAATAATTTTAAATGAAATATCTCAAAGCACCCAGTGGCTCATCGGTAAGTCCGAAAGCTTATAACACCAAAAACCGGGTTTCGATACCCGTAGTGAGCACAGCAGAGATAAGCCACGATGTAGTTATACGTTTAACAACAACATAACTCTAAAAGCTATAAACACAAATTAGGAGTGATAAAGAACAAGACTAGTTGATAATACAAACGAATTACGAAACCAACAACAATGAAGAATAATCGTTTTCTTTTGTCTTGTTATTATCAATTTTATATACTCATTTTACATGTGATTTTACAAGACTAGAAAAAAAGGTAACAAATCTAAGTTATTAGAATTAGCAAGAAACATATTTTACTAACATTTACTGATTTTTCTCATAGACCTTTAATTTATGGTCGAAATTTTGAAATTATATACTTTACTTAACATCTCATTTTATCTATGTTCAATACTGCAAGTTCTTAAATTTCAACAGGATCGTGTATTTTGGTATGAGTACAATTGGTGGATTCCTAGCATCAAATTACTGAACCGGACGTAGCTTAGTGATTAGGTACCGAGTGGCATATCGAAATATAGAAAGTTCGAGCCGTTATATGATGATTAATACTCTCCACACATTCACCTGTGGGGGCGCTACAAATATAAGAATTAATAACCCTATTCGGTCATTAGGAGCCGCGTAGGCGGCAAGTGCTGCTTACTGGTTTCTCTACTTCTGGTCAGCATTCCTAAATTAAGGTTGGCTAAATCTGAAAGTTAAGGGTCTCTCACTTAGCCGTTTAGCCGATTTGACGTGTAATTTGCATTTTGTATTGAAAATATCAAATATCTCGCTATAGTGATTGTGACTGCGACCACTCGAAAACATCGCTACTGCGCATAGTAACACTGGACCTACTGAAAGTTTAGGGATAAAATAGTATTTGTGATTTGTTTTTATATATCAATAGACTATAGGTTATTTAAGTAGAAGCATAAATATTTAAAACTAAACATCAAGTAATATGGTTCCCCAAAGTTTATTTCTTAATTCCTTGATTAATTCGTTTAAATATTCCAAGATCTAGAAGCTGCTCAGTATGCATTAGAGTGTACTGAATTTTTATAATGTTTCTTTTATTTTTAAATTTTTGAATTAATTTTAATATAATTGATAGACAGTAAATAGTTATTTTAAGCTTGCTCGGCACTTATAAAAATACCTGTTTCATGGATTATAAAAGTAATTTATAATATCAAATAATAGCATTTACTTTAAAGGTGCTTTTTTGTTTCTAGTTTTAAAGAACTGCATTGTAGAAGTGGTACAAACATTCGCTTTGTGACATAAGCATAAAGAATAAAAATTAATCAAATGCACAACATTTGCTGAAAATTGTTGCACTTTATGATATTAGCTACTTAACATTTTTCAAAGCATAAAAACAAGTTATGTTGTAATACGTTAAGCCAATTCCCCAGGTGTGTCAGCGATAAGTTCACTCAACTTATAATGCTAAAATATGGGATTAGACTTTCATCGGTGTACAGAGGGTAGGTAGCACATTGTGTAGCTTTGCGCTAAGACATCAACAACAGATGTAAGCTTGAAATAGGAAAAAATATCCATACCACTATTTTCAATAGTCATGGACAAAGACAACCTAACGATCACTACCACGAACACGCTGTAATATAATAACTTGGCACATAAGCACATGTATTTAAGAGTTGTAAAATGGATCAGTCTTACGCTCTAGAGTTGGATTTGTTTGCTCATTAATGTAAATGTTAGATGTCCTTTTTCGAGCTCGAGCCCAGTAACTCACTGTAAGAGATTAAGTATAGTCTATTATCATTAACTTCTGATGTAAGCAAACTATTTAGATACATCAGAATTAAAATATTATTACAGTAATTACTATGCCGATCTATCTAAAAGTATGCAATGCCGTGAAACACAAGCTCATATTGAATAAACAGAGTTGTTTAATTGTGGCGGAATGCTACAAGTTCTTCAAACACCTATAGAATGATAGGTTTCTTTTTTGTGAGTGTAAAACACTTAAATACACTAGTTCGAAAAACTTATATTGATCATAATGCGTTGATGCATCAGTTGAGTATTCACGGTATATTGTCGACCATAAACCCTATAACATCTTATGATGTTCGGCTAGCTTAGGTCATTTTACTACTATATTCGTACAACATCTTAACCAATACTGTTAATGAAGCTAACGTTAAAGAAAAGATAGAACATAAAACTGCTAGAAGAAAGATCTTCTATATTTTATCAGAGAACACGATAAAGAGTGAAACTATTACTACCGTATTTTCACTTTACATTACTAACCCAGGGCAATGAAGTTGATAATTATAATCAATATCTTAGTACATTAATTTAGAAAAATTGTACTAAAACTGAGTTTGCTCACACAAATGATTCGTGAGAGTTATGGATAACGGTATCTTTGTTCAGTACATTGACATTGTTTTTTTCCTGGGAAAGCCTTTTCATTTCCTGGTTTTGGCGAGAGCGGACAATACAGTCTGTGGCGTAGTAGATTAACGCTCTTTCTCGCCGCATGGTGTTGTTCACAGTAGCACATCGGAGGCATAAGATCTCCTTAAATGTTCTTCGGAAATCCTGGTGAAATGTGACGTAGATGATAGGATTCATCATGGAATTGGTATAACCAAGCCACAAAACTAAGCTTCGAACTTGATGTGAGACGTTAAACATATCTTCATCAATAGCTCGGAGAAGAGCCAACACAAAGAAAGGTAACCAACAAACAGTGAAAGCGGACATGATAATGCCCAATGTAACAGAAGCTTTTCTCTCTTTCCAGACTGAAGATTTACTTTTCGTTTGGTTTTTTTCATGGTTTTCTCCGTCACCAGGGCTTTTAAAAGTATGGTCAGAAATGCTGTCAGAAGCAGAAGGCGCATGCATTTCTTGCGCTGTGATTGAATCGGAAATAGAATTGTTGTGTGCAACTCTGTGTACAGAACAAACACTTTGAATAAGTCGCTCTGACTGACAATTTTTATTACAGTAACCGTTCTCATTTCTCCACAATTTACGTTGTGCGTAAACAAGAGACTTGTGTTCGGCCTCAACCACACGTTTGGCTGCAATGTATATTTTGAGGTACACGAATATCATTATTATAAGTGGAATGTAGAAAGCGCCAAGAGTAGCGTACAGTTGATAACCAAAGTTCTGACTTACCTCGCATGTGGGATTGGCCAAAGTTCCGTGTTCGTTACCCAAAACTAATAAAGGTGGTACACTTATGAGGCACGACAATACCCAGACAAAAATGATACAGATCCAGATCCTACGAGAAGTTCTTCGGACCCCATAAGTGAGGGGCTTAGTGATAGCCAGGTAACGATCCACACTGATCATACACAGATTCAAAATGGATGCCGTGCAACTGGTGACGTCAAAAGCCACCCACATGTCACAAGTACTAGGTCCAAGGTTCCAGTTTCCGACTAATTCGTAATGAAGAGCAATGGGCATCACCAGGAGAGATACACACAGATCTGAGACTGCCAACGAAACCAGAAGAAAATTGGATGGTTGTCGTAGTTTTTTAACCAGATAAACTGATATACACACCAAAGAATTTCCAATAGCTGTGGCAGCAATCATACTAGTGAGGAGAACTAAGAGAATAACAGATGAAGGATCAGAGTATTGAGCTGACATGGTGGGATCTTGTGTAAAGAGCTAAAATGTTACTCTCTAAAGTCCATTTCAATTCAGCACGAGTCGCTGTTGAGTTTGGTAAAGGAGACATTGGCGATTGATTTGAAACACATCCCAGATTTCGTGAAATAGTACACCATTCTTTATGTTCTTTGGAGACTTGATGGAAACTGGAAAAATAAATGAATGAATAAATAAATAGAGCCGATAACTTTTCCAATATGTTTAACATTTAAGAAATACGAGCTATGATATTTTATTTTTAGTGAAAACTTAAGGGATGATCAGGATCCTTTCAGAAGCATTTTTATGCATTAACCAAGTAGATGTTATTATCTAGTCTTATAAAAAACTATAAGTTTTATATTTATAATTTCTTTAAAAATATAAAAAGCATATATATATATATATATATATATGTGTGTGTGTGTGAGTGTGTAACTTAGTTTATCATACTTAATATTACTGATTTAAGAATAATTAGTTAGCATTGACAAAAGCATGTATAAATTAAACAGGTTTATTATATGATATATACGTAGCAGTATATACACTCAAAATAAAATATATAAAACAATCGTTGATTCTGAAAATACTACGATACTTTTAAATATACGTTTTTGGTAATTCTTTACGTTAACTATTTTTGGTTTAACATGCAATAAGAAATTGAAAGTATGATTGCTTCTAAAACATTATACTCAAGCTCACATAAATATGAATTCAATCTCCCGAATTCACGAAAATACCAAATTCAGCAAATAATGAAAACTAAAGATAGAGATGAAATACAATTTTATGTCTACGAGTTCTGAATCGAGTGAACAAATATAATTCATTCAAAAACAGGTTTCATAATTAATCTTATCAATTATTTATAGTGGAAAATTTTTCTCTATTTAGGACACATCTAAAAAAAAAAACAGCATAATATTAGATGTTCATGGAATTCAAAGGTGGGACGAACATTGGATGGCATATAATGATGAGATACTTGTTTGTTTTGCAGTCGGTTAACGTTCAAACCATCTAGCAAATTACCATACTAAGCAGAGTGTGATATTCAGCTCAATATCAGTAACTTCCACAGAATACCAATAAAGGAAGTGTAAAAAGTAAACATCCGACACCAATGAATACATATCTGTAGACCACATTTATTATGGAACATGACTATTCAATGTCTTACTATAGTATAAGAAGTTAAAATTATATTTTACCTATATCTAAGTACATATTAAAGTATCCAGAAATAAATGATATTCTCTGTATATTGTATAGCGTTCAAATGAAGCTACCTAACATATGATCATTGAAAGAATACATAGAGTAACTCCGTTCCAGTAAGTTTCTCAGAAGTAGAAAATATTAGAGAAAAGTGCTATAAGACGTCCCTTTTCGGTAAAATGGTTATTTGTGTACATCAACAGTTATGAAGTGCTGCCATCAGAGGGAATTATATGTAACTATTGTTTACGCGGACCGGAGATGCGCGACTTCAATGTTTTGTTCTTGAACAACTTTAACCTAAGATAAGCACTTTGATTTTTTTATGGTTACAAGGTATATATATATTTAATTTTATTTGTTGTTAAGCACAAAACTACACAATGAGGTATTTGTGTTGTGCCCACCACGAGTATCGAAACCCGGATTTTAATGGTGTAAGCCCTCCAACTTATCGCTGAGCGACTGAAGGAAGATATTTCAGGACAATTAACTTTGTTATTCTCAAACAACGAGGAATTATAGACAGCCGGATATACCATAAAGAATCACAGTTCACACTTACAGACTTTTTATAACATGGAATTGCTTTATGATGAGTGACACAGGGTAATACGCCCCCCCCCCCCATATTACGTCTTACACCATACCAATGACGAATATTTCTGCCAAAGGCTTCAGCTACAATAAATGTTATTGCCCCACGCTATATTATGCACGTTCTTTTATGTCATTGTCTTACATACTTCGCAACTTACGCATGACGCACTGCCTACCCGATTCCTACACTGAGTGTTTAAATGATGATTTAAGTGACTTACATATGGTAGCTAAATGCATCAGTAAATTTAAATTGTTATGATTTAAATAGGGGCCATTTTACCCTGTCTTTGGCGTCCGTTTTATCAAAGATGTGGAGTTAACGAAGAGTTTATGCTCTTAGATACAACCTACACCAGTAGAACCTAATAATGTAAAATTCAGTGAATTAGAAGAAATATCTACAGAACGGATTAACGTTTTGAAAAATGGAGGAGCCTACTGAAACGAGACAGTTCGTACCTGTAAAGTTCTTAATGATTCTTCTTACCTCCAATAGCATGTACAAACAATAATCATGTTATCTGACAAAACGTGAATATTTCATCTTAAATAATTTTGTGAAAATACTAATATTTATGGTGAAATCGCATTGATGTGATGAATAAGTAATGTGTGAAATATATAACTGTGCGGCAGCCAGCAAAATTTGTGAACACAAACAACATTGAATTATTTTCAAGGTCATGAAATTAATGTATATATTTTTTATGATTAGCAACATATTTCTTTGGAATCGTTTTTATAAATTAAGTGTGGCTATAAATAGAAAGTTTGTATTCTGTAGCCGCGAAATGCTGCTTAACACGCTATGTATTTTCAGTTGTATGTGGAGAAGGGGGTGGGCGTCTTAACTATGAAAATGACATTCGGATTCGAATAAGGTTCAGCCGATAAAGTTGACTAGTGGCTCTCCTTCTGATTACCAGTTCGAAACCATGTATGGCTACGCCTGAACTTTAGAGGTCTCTAGCCTGGCCGTTTATTGCATGCGTTGATGAAGTTACGCTCATGTTGGAAATGCCAATAGTAATCTGTTGATTAAAAGCTGAAATGTTACAAAAAAGAAATATTCATAACCTCCTTGTTGGAAAACACGTGTTTGCAATAATCTCGTTGGGAAACTACTAGTACAGGAATATTTGTCATTTGAGGAACGGATAGAGTTTTCATTCCTATAGCTATGTTTAACTGGGGTGATGATGCGCATGAAAACAAATAATGAAATATTATTGCTTGTCCTGAGGACACTGTTTTGTTGTTTTCAACAATATAAAAGCCTCGAACTCAACTGTTAAAATTACTCTTTCAATATTGAATTTTCTTACACTACTCTGTAGTAGGAAATAGCCGGACTGTTAACAGAAACGTGGTCTCGATTCCTGTCTTGTCTTCCTTCGTAATTCTATGTCCCAAACTTTAATTTAAGCACAATACATTACAACTTAGTTCCTTCTTTTGCAAGCGAGAATTAGGAGCTAAATTACATGATTAAAATAGAATATCAAAATGTGTACACATTGTTATACAACAAAGTCATTGTGTATTACCTTAAGAAGGTGCTTATAACTTATATTAGTTATTTTTTGTAAAATAAAAAGTGGGTATTAATTAATTTTGACAAATCATATTTTAATCTGAAAGAGTAGAAGACGTTCGTTAATTAAATCATATTTTATTGATTCTCACAAGGAGGATATCGCAAAAAAATGTTTTTTTTAACTAGTGAATCTACATCACTATTCAGGTATAGGTGCTAAAAGCCCCCACCCCCAGTAATTCAGCGGCATGTCTGCGGACTTGCAACGCTAAAAACTGGACTTCGATATCTGTGGTTGGCAGAGCACAGATAGCCCATTGTGTAGCTTTGTTCTTAACATAAAACTAAACAAACAAACAAATTTTAATTAAATATTAGAAGAACGTTTCACTAGGTTTACTTGGCATCATCAGGGGGCTAACAAGAACTGGGCTAACAGAATTTAATTTAGAAAAAATAAACGTTATGAATAAAATAAGCAAAAGTTTTACTATGTACAAATGATAAAAACTTGTTTGAATTTATGCATTAGTTTTTTTTTTTAAGCACAGTCTTAAAAAGACAATCTTAGTACCCAACCATAACGTCTCATAACACTAGCTGATGTTTTCATTACTTCGTAATAGAAGAGACTACTTTCATCAAAGTTACTTGTGTCAGTGCGGGTCACTTGCAGAAATCTCACTTTAATCGAATCTTATCACCCATGTACAGAGAAAACCTTAACACCCCGTATGAGATCAAAACATCTGCAGTTAACGCACGCATGTACAGAGAAAACCTTAATACCCTGTATGAGATCAAAACATCTGCAGTTAACGCACGCGTGTACAAAGAAAACCTTAATACCCTGTGTGAGATCAAAACATCTGCTGTTAACTTAATTTTCATAACGAAACCTTTTTTTTATGCTTCCCATCCGTTCCAAGGTGGGACAGTGGTAAGTCTACGGAATTGCAACGCTAAAATCCAGGGTTAGATTTCCTGCTCAATGTAGATTTGCTATAAAATAAACAACGCTTCCTATCCCGGAAGCTCTATTTCTTCTTTGATGATCTAGATTGATAGACAGAATAGAATCTTTGCCGAAATGTTTGCATATTTTGTAACAAGTAATATCGTTATTATTAAGATGGAATACAAATACACCTAGTACTGTCAAATGCATGTTATATTAAACATCTACATATGTAGTTTGTATAATGAAATAGGTTCAATGGACATCATGAATGATTCGTTAGAACAGCAAATAATTTTATCAGACACCTGTAGAAAGATGTGTAATTCATCATTTCACCTATGACAACAAAACCTTACCAAAACATATATAATAACAAAATATAACATAAAATTATTACAAACAGCGTCTGTAACCTTATATCAGTTAATATTAAACGTTCAGTACTTCGTTGATCCTCATCGTACTTTAATAACCTCTGCAAGGCTATGCGGCATGCTGTCGATGATGTTATTGATGTAATAATCCGTGATTTCATCCCAACTTGTCACTAGAAGGTGTTTTCAACTCAGTTACAGTAGCTGGTTTGGGGGTTGTGGTTAGAAATTTTCTGGTTCAGCTTTGCCCAACAGTTCTTAATGGGATTACAATCTGGAGAATTTGCTGGCCACTGTA